AGTTAAATTTACTGTTATAGAACTTCTATGAGAATTTTATGATTTTCTTTATATAGGTAAAACTGCTTTAGTCAATGAGAAAATAGAGCATAGTTTTCAATTATGTTGAATTTTGGAATTTGCTAAATGATAGTGCACACTCCTTTGGACAACATTTATAAAGAAATTATAACTCCCAAATTTTCACTAAAATAAAGGCCTCATTAATACAAACGCGCAATGTTTAAGCATTGCGTTTATGATAATTTGAAAAACATATATTGCGATGCATTGATAAAGAAATATGCGTTACAATTATAAAGTTATGTCTTGATAAGCTAGCGCAAGTGCTGAGATGAGGTAATCAGGTCAATTTTTATTAAATTTTAAAAATTGGCTCATTCCATCCTATTACAGATTAGCTTTGCCTTATGCTTATCCTATACATTTATTTCATAATAATTAGGCATAAAAATTATTAAATTTAATTTATTTCATAAATTATTATTTTAATTAATGGCTATTTTATTAATTGTAAAAATTATATTTTTTAAAAAAATATACTACTTCTAAAGGTTTATATAATGTTATTCGCAAAAAAATCATTACCATTATATTATAAAATAAAATAATTTTGACATTATAATTTCTAAGTTATTAGGACATACAAAAGTTAATTTAAAATTATATTGACGTCATCGGCATGTTTCATGGAGAATTAATTTTTGACTCTATAAATGGATAATTATTTGAAATCCTCATTACGCATGCCCAGAGTTGATAATTACTGAAATGAAATACTTTTCCAAGTAAAACAAAGTATCTCTAAATATGATCTCAGTTTTCAATAAATTGTAGTTAGTCGAGGGGATTATGTAAATATATAAACTATGTTAGTGATTCATTGATAAAAAGTGTCCATACATAGGAGTCAGCTGTAGTGTCATTTTTGCGCGTTGAGCTTGCTTCTTATTTATCATTATAAAAAATGCAAATTAATTTCATTTAATCGACTGTCGCTACTCCGATTTTTATGTATAGACACTTTTAAATGCATTTAATGAATGAATCGCCAATCTAGTAGTATATATATACATCATTAGTCGCAGGCTAAAAAATTAAACACTCAATTATTATTAAAAATAAAAATATTTTGTAAAATGAATAATTATGTAAATGTACTTAAATACCAGGAAACATTATAATTTTAATATTGAAAATATCAAGCCAATAATCTTGTATAATGTGAATTATAAGCAGGCAGGAAGCATTATAAATTAATATATTATATTCGAACTCTATTACCATTACCATATCCCCCTCCCCGATTTATTGGAATATTTCATAATTTAATAATATATTTATATTCTAAAATAGACAATTTAATTTTTCAGCATATGCTATAACTAAGGAAATTTTCTTATTGAACCAGAGATATTTTCAATTACGATATAACATAATTTTTATTATTATACTTTAGATTTGAGGTCTGAAATAGGCGGTTAGCCCGCCTAAAAGATTTTAAACATTGAGTGGGTGAGTTAAAAAATATTTTAAAAAAATTCCAAATATAAATTCTATTCTTCCTCTTCAAATTATTGAATATATATAAATATATTTTTTAAAAAAAGATTAAATAAAATCAATAAATTTTTTTAAAAAAAAATATTATTTAATTTATAACTGACCTATTTTATCTTCTTTTTTTCACAAAACCATTCCTATTTTATGGTTTATTTTAATTATTATTTTCATACAAATATATGCCCATTTTTTTTATTATAAGATTAGTTATAGAATAATTGTTAAAAACATACACTATTCTGGACTCGCCCACAGGTTTTTTTGGCTGACTTAGGTACGGGCCCAGATGAGGAAACTTGATTTAATAAATAGCTCGGTTTAGTTTAGATTTGGCACATGAAATTTACTAGAATGCTTTACTTGGCTCACCGGAATAAAACCGTTTCGGGTTGGGGAATGGAATTAGTTCAGAATTCAGAACCCTGCTCCATAACCCGCTTATAAAATTTACGTTTATATGCTGTTCACAGAAACTAAATCATGCAAACTCAATTCTTTCGGTCCGAGTTCCATCGGCGCCAGATTTTATCTATAGACCCGAGCCTAGCCCGACTTTATCTTTTTAGGCATAAGCTGGACGTGGCCTTATTATTTATATATTTTTTGGCCTGGACTTCTAGCCGATTTGCAAAGCTCTACTCATGGATATGATCGTTTACAATAATTATCCATTTTGAACCTTTACCCGTTTTTCCTATCTCTTTTAACAAAAATTATAATCGGGTGTATTATATTGCTTCAAAATTTGATCACTGAAAGAAGGAAACAAGTAAAGAATCAAGATCAAAATAATCTGGTTTGTCTATAAAAATTGAAGAAATATAGTCATTTAAAACGAAATGAGGCCACAAATTTTAATGATTTTTTTAAAAAATACTCATTTATACTCTCGTGTTATTTTAAAGCTTTATTCTATTTCGATTGTATACTTATTCTCAGTTTTATAAACACGAATAGGAAACAATTATAAACCTTATCCCCCTATCTCCAAACTTACTCTAAAAAAAATTAATTAAATAAAAATAATTATACCAATTATATTAATATAAATGAAAAATAAATGAAAAATAAATGCCAAAAAAGAAATATTTTGAATAAAAGCAAAATTTAAAGAATTTTATAATTTACAGCATAACATCTTCTTTCAATGGTAATTTTAACAACGTTTGTCCAGTTTAACATAATCATTCTTTAAAAAAATGTTCAGGAGAGACACAAAAGAAAGCGTTTTTAATAAATCGTATTTTTAAATAGAAAAATAATAAATGTAATAAAAAATACATGTTTCTAATAATTATTAAAAAGTAGTGGCGTAATATTTTTCCATAAAATATGTTTTATTATTAAAATATGAGCATTTTTGGAAACAGTCTTATGTTTCACAAGTGATTTAAAAAAAACATGTTTCTAATAATTAGTAGGATTTGAACTTTTAGGTGAAGATAGAGAACCTATAATTATACACCTTTCTGCAAAATAAAAAAACATTTATTGAAAAATATTTACTTACGAGGTCTTGCAGTTGAGGACGACGATATTCGTTTCGTATTTTACGAATAACGAATAATAAAATTATTCTAATCGAATGAAATAATAATATATCGTTCTATTGAATTCAAAAATATTTAAAATTACGTGAAAATATTCAAAAAAATATATATTTTCGAATCGATCGAAGTTTCATTATTCATACGAATAAGGAATTATTCGTTTAATACGAATGCGAATAATAGCAATATTCGATTCGTAAACTCGAATAGCAATTATTGGATATTTTTTTAGACATTTGCTGGTACGGAAATTTGGTTCCAACCAATTTTAATAAAATTGCCGTATCTGAACCGCACTAATGACTTTACAGTAGGGATGGAAAAAGCGTGCTAAAGCCATGTCTAAATTTAATTTGCACAATAATTTAAATTATTCCATAATTTTTAAATTTTTTTTATCTTGACATATGAATTCAGAGCCCTCAAGACTGAACTCTATACCCTCCCCCCTCCCATTTGCATTTGAAAAAACATATATTACAACCTTGTGAAGGTTTGCTCTGTATATATAATTTAAGATTTTCCTTTAAAATTTCTTTTGTCATCTGAATCCAGAGCCCTCTAGGCCCTCACCCCTTAAAACCCAGAATAGTGTTGTAAACCTATTTGTATCGATTTTTAAACTGCTCGATTTAGCCAAATAATATTATATAAACCTCAAGATTTGGTAAATAGCGGCCTAAATTATTCTATCATTTATGAACAAAATCTCTAGATTACATAATATTATTTTGACTTATCCAGAACCCAATGACGTCGAGACTTTCCTAAAAGTAGCCCCCCCCCCACCCGCCTCATTTGAATAAAATAAATACATTTTAGTGATTATGATTTCTTAATAAAAGAAATATTATCTCCAATAGAATAATATCAGATACCAAGCCCAGGTTAAAATTTTAGACCACGCCCGAATTTTTTTTATTTTTGTTTATTTTTATGTTTCGCACCCAGAATTGTTTCGAAAGGAAATTGAAAATATCAGCATATAAATGAATTCTCCCGGCTCCATTTTAAAAAAATAGCTATCCCAATATTTTAGTCAAAAAATAATTACGCAAGCCTGGAGAATTTTCTATATTGATAGTAAGAAAGGTTTGGACATCTATTAACGAAATTTCGAGGCTTGCAATTATTATTTTGTTTAAATTCTTAATTTAAAATCGTAAAATTGAGCCGTTTAACAACACTTATCTCTGAAGGATCTAAATCGTAGCGAATATTGATGCAAGTTCGATTTTTTAAAATAATAATAGGTTCGAGTTGAACCTTTAAAAACCAGTTTAAACCTTTTTGTATACAAGTGTTTATTAGAATTATGTTAAAAATATTTGTAATTTAAGCTATAAAATCCATTTGATCGTGTCCTAGTTCGTCCTGTTGTTTAAAGGCTCAATTTAGCCAATTACAAATTAAGCTATTGGCGGTAGCTGGTACAGTCAAATAGTAATATACAAAAATATCTAAAATAATTTCTGATTTATCCATCAAAACTTATTTTAATCATCTATAAAATAATGGAAAATATCAAAAGGTTCAAACCGCCTGTTCACAGGTATCCTTAAAGTTTAGGTTCTTGGTGTGACAAATTTTAACGGTTCGGTTTAGGTTCAGTAAATAATAATGGTTGATACCGGTTTAACGTTTCGTTCAGTTCGGTTTGCGTCCCTGAATTCTTCATCATATTTTCCAACATTAATTGATTAAATGTCATAATTTTTAAGAAATCGTCCCAACCTAGGTTTTTTAAATTACGGCCTGGATACGAGTCGGGCTTTAGTCCGGGTCTGTAGGTCTTTGAATAATATAATTATATAACCAAAACCCAAAACATATAAAGGCATTGTAACTAAAAATAAAGTTTAAAAATTATACATTCATTTATTCTAGAAGTATGTTATTACCACCCAATGTTTCCCTCTAAGGAAGAAATCGCGGAAAATCCTAGAACCGATGAAACAAGCTTACGTAATATTAATTTATTTATAACGAATATATTTTATTTTACCCCCCCCCCCTGATGGGTCATTCCATGTCAAATCAACCATGATTCGACCGACCACCTCCGATTTTTTTAAAATCTGGTAATGATGTAACTAAAATAGCCAAAATTTTAGCCTACTGATATTTTTGGAGATATTAGTGTTCAAAGTGACAAAAATATTTTTACCATTATTTGCCTTCATTCAATTATGCATAATACTATAATTGTAAATAACAAATTAGTATCAAAATTATGTACAAAGATTACACTTTTAGATAAGAATATTTTTTTTTTATTTTTCCAATTTCCAGCCTCTAATAATATATTATTATAAATCCGCTTATTACCAGATTTATAATGACCGAAGGACACATTAATCTTTATATTATTTTATGTTAATTACCTATCAAGATGTAGTGTTCATTTATATATTATTTTTACCTTAAATAATATAATTTGTAGTTTTATTTTGGAAATCAATTTCTTATCACATAATTTGTAGTCTATTTTGTTACTCAATTTATCAATAGTCAAATATTGAAATATCTTCAATGATCCAATATAAAATATATCTACTAAATGATTAAAATTCAATTTAATCCAAAACCGAAGCCCGGAAAAAAACTTTCAGAAAATAAAATCTCCAGAAAAGACCCTCATGAAAAAAACGTCCGGAATTTTTTCCCATGTTTATCAAATTTAGTTAAGACCTTATAATAAAGGCAATTTTTATTTTTATTCATAATGGATACACTCATTTTAATAAGATATTATGTATATACAAATTCAATATAATAATGATTCAAGTTAACATCGAATATAGAAAAATATCTTTTATAAAATCTGGAAGCACCTCATCACGGTATTCCTCGCAAAGTTTCTTTAACCTAATCTAGTATTATAACTGCGATTTAGTTCTCCGGGAGCCACCTCGCATTTCATTTTTTAAATTAATATTCAGATTGATGGGTGTTTATTATTTTCTACCAGATTAGAAAAACGATGATTCAATACTTCACATTGATTAATTCTGCGTTCTACGTCACACAGAGTGCTCTGATTCACATTCCAGGTTTCCGGAGGAAATCGAGGCTCAATTCATCATGTCTGGACTGGAACTCTTGCGACCTCCCTTGATACTCTATTAATATAATTTTTAAACATGCTGTCGAATTAGCCATTAAATTTAAGGATTCCTCCTTTGCAATACGTTCTTCAACATGTGAGCCATTCAAATAATAAAAATCTTTTAGTTCTGGGAACCACAATTTGCCCACTCACCTATAATATTAAAATTTTTATGAATATAATTATATTAAAATTAATACCTTCAATAACTAGGTCTTCCAAATTCACAAGAGATGAAGGATTGTGCTTTGCCTTATTTCCCATCCCTCTTTGATTTGAAGATCTCGTGGAAGAGATCATATTTTATGTGAGAGGATTTCAAAAACGTTATTTATAAGCGTCAAATTTGATTTTAAAAAAATACTATTTGTTTGAAATTTTTTTGAAAGGAGGGGGGGGGATTCCTATTACTTCCAATACCTCATAATAACAAACCCATGGAATTGATAATGAATGATTACGATATTTAAAAAATATATATTATTTCTTTTACATAGAGTAAATAAAATACATGGTCAACGACAGGTTTATTTATGTATTTATATATTTTTGTTTTAAAACAAAAAAACAAAGTATATTATTATTATGCTTGAAATTATGTATTTTAATTAAGCAAAATAAAGCATGTATAAGAAATACTAATTTCATTTTTATTAAAAATTTAGTAGACATTAACTTATTCAAATTATTACTTTATTTGTAATTTATTATGAAATTACCATATAACATACATTGAATATTAATAAAATATGTCCAACCAAGTTTAGAGTAGGAATCAGAATCTTGTATTTTATGTATGGCGCCCTGCAAACGATATCTCTGCAGGTCTCTGAAAAATATTTTCTATTGAATTCGGATACATTTTACTTCTAAATTGATGTATTGCTGTCGTCGGAATCATAGTGAATTTTCTGTGTTACAAATGTCGGTCCAGTTTTTGAAATCTTTCTCTGAGTAGTATTTCTTCGTCATCATAATTTTTTTGGTTATATATTCAAAATATATGCCATTAATATTATGTTTAACGAATTCGTAAAAATTCACACGGTATTGTTATTTGCTCTGAGTAAGGTCTTTGTAAACCTGCTAAGGCATTGATAAATTTATCTAAGGGCTTGGTGATTGTTTCAAGAGTGGTTCTATCTACGGTTAGCCACTGTTCATTAATTTAAATTTTGGTGGTAGCTACAAACAAATATATTATGTGTACAACTATCTCTCAAGAGTATACAATTTTTTGAGCAAATACTTGCAAATTTCGAATATCCAATTTTAAAATCAGGCCTCATTTCTCTAAAAAATATATAAATTCTTTCAAATTATTTAAAATTAAACTCTTTTGTTCAGTATTCTCTTCTCCGTCTTTGGTCGAAATCGAAACGCAATCTTTCTTGCTTGGCATAATTCGGCTTTAGATATTGAAAGAAATCCATTTTCCGCTATCAGTAATTTAACATGTCCTGTGATTTCTAGGAAACTATAGCTTTATACTTCTGGAGTACATATTATTGGAATAGGGTTCAATCCTTTTTCTTATTTAATATATATATAATCTTTCAATAATTGTTGCTTAAATGCTTATGATGGATTTGGGGGCACTGTTAAAAAATTAGTCGCCAGTAGCGTCACTAGGGGAGAGGGCGCTCGGGGGCTCCAGCCCTTTGAAAAATTTGAAGAACCCCCTCCTCAAAATTTTGAATTTTTTTATACCACTAAAAAAAAGGTATTAGGATAATGTTAGCTCAATTAAAAGATTATTTTGAACTCCCTGAGATTGTAAAGGCTAGTGTTGACCCTGTTAGCCGATAAATTTATAAATACCTTACAGCAAATAACATCATATGAATTATACGAATTCGCTAATGATAATATTAATGGCATATATTTTGAATATATGACAACTCAAAAATTATGATGACGAAGAAGTTCTATTCAGAGAAAGATTTTCAAAAACTAGACCGATACCTGGAACACAAAAAATTCACACCATGATTCTGACTGATCTACATGAATTTAGAAATAAAATTTATTCGAATTGCAACACTCTTTACTTGCCAAAATGTCATATCCTTAACATTAATTTCACAGTTAACTTCTACTGTCCGTATATATTATCATCACAAGAAAGTAAAGGGGTTAATGATGCTTACTACCAAGTGAATGTATGGAAATATTTTAAATACCAATCTAATTTGCTAAATATCGACCAAAATTTATTAAAATGTAATAAGACCCTTATTATTTAATATATTAATACGGAATCACGTGGTCGAGTCCGGCCTTCTATATATCATCCCCCCAAGGATGGAACCACCAAGTTACAATAAGAAAAAAAACATGATCATTCCCGGGATTCGAACCCGGGAGCATAGGATAAGTAAGCCAAGCTCTTGCCTACTAGGCCATAGAGGCTTTCCAAAAATCACGATTTTTCAAATATATATTATAAATATATTTGGTAGTGCCTATCCAAATGAAAAATGAACAAAATTCAAATTTGATAGATGGTACCTTAAAGGTACCAAGCATCATTAACCAAGTAAAGGCGCTTACGAAAAATTACAATCTTTTATTAGTGAATTATATATTCGATTGCGCTTAAGGAAAATAAGAATCTTTTAATAGTGAGTTATATATTCGATTTTAAATTTAATATTATAACAATTATTTTTAATATTTATGGCAGCATATATGAAATACACAAGATTCTCATATATTAACTTTGAATTTGATTTCACATTTATTTTATAAATATTCATTTAATAAATGTTATATGGGCAAATTTATAAGAAATTATAAATGAGGTAATAATTACCAAGTTTTAAAAAAATCAAAGGAGGTCGGCCGAAAATCTCATTTTTTTGCTCATTTGACATCGAAAGACTAATCTATAATTTTACGCCGGTTAAATTGGTAATTTTATTTTTTTTTGACCATCACAAAGATTCATTTATAATCGCTATAAGGCGGATTAGGCTTATTTAAAAATAAATCGAGTAACGTATACGAATAGTAAATTATTATAATAATAAAAATAATTCTTTTTATTCCGAATAATTGGAAATTAGCGGAATAAAAAAAAATTATATAAATTCTGTCAATATATTTTCATATAAATTATTTTATAATTAAATCGAAGAATAGTGCGGCCTAATGCGGAGTTGTTCCTTTTCTCTTCCATTAGTCCTGGCCCGAATCATCGAATATATAATCATTTTAATTAGTGATCTGCGTTGGGCTTAATTTTTAAACCCGACCCGGTCCTATTTTTTAAAAATAAATTGGCCCGAACCCGTGTGGATTTTTTTATTTATCCCGAAGCCCGCCCCAAAATATATTTGTTACCCCGACTCGGCCCGAATCTATTTCAATAATAAGAAGAATTTTTAAATATTAATTTTAGAAAATAATTCTAACAAATAAAAAATATATTATTGCCTTGTTTCTTGCAAAAATTTTAAAATATATTAATTCATTTCTCAAAATTGATAATATTATATTTAAAAATTTAATCCCGGCTCGAATTTAAAAAATAAAATAATAGGCCCAATTCGGCCCGAATTGGTCGAGCCGCTTTTTGCAGTTCTCTAATTCTAAATTCTACCGCATAAAATGACTCGTTTCAAAATTTAACCTTAGCGATATATTCTCTATATTGTGTGCAGATGGATATAATAAATATTTTGTTCAAATCTTTACGATAAACCAAAATCCATATTGACCTTACCTAACCATTTGTTTGATATAGAAAAATTTCAACGTTTTAGTTAAAATATTATAGAACCTTTTGATAATTAGAAAAAAATTAATGAAAATTTGATTTTCATAAACATAAGTACACCCTTTAAAAAAATGAATACTTACACTTTAAAACAATAATATTTATAAAATAATTGATTACATTAGATTATAGCCGAGCTGAAGGAGCTTTCGCAGTGATTACAATATTTATCATGGCCATTTCGCATATTTTTTCGATATATACCTTCAAAGAACCAAGATTTATGTTTAAAAGATTAGCAGGCTTTTTGTATTTTCTAGCAGGTTTTGATGATTATATATTACTTACATTTCAATAAAACAAAACAATTATCCTCTTTTAGAGGTATGTTTAATATCAAGTTGAAATTATATTTTCTCCTAAAAATAAAACATATAAACATTATAAAAGCAATATTGATTATATATTAAGATTGCAATAATTATTTTGAGCAAAGATGAAATTTTAATATATGCGGAATTTGTAATTAAGTCGAATATTTATATAATTTATGAACAAATTTTTTTTTATAGTTATGTTAGATAGAAGGAAAAACATAATTATTATTTTGTCCTTTGAATTTATTCATTTAAGCAATGTGTTTCATTATGAGATGCAGATTGATCAGATAATACTATAAAATCTTTCAAATTTATCATCCTTCTTAGACCTAATAAAATATGATATAATCGATAATCTAAAGGGAAAGATGATCTACTCTTTTCTAGAGGAGGGGAAGGGGGGGGGGGGGTAGGAAGTAATTTTCTCTGCCATAATTTTATTGGTTTACTAATAAAGACTCTATCCAATCTGATTTTTGCTATAATTCCATCTCATACCCTGATTCATGGTTATAAAAATGTTAAAATGCTTTGATCATTCAAATTTACAGCCATTTTTAAACCAGAATCTGGACTGAAACTCTCGGGACCGTGACATATCTGGAAATCGAAAATACTTATTATAAAGTTTTCAGAAACCGGTTCCGGAACCGATTCTTATAAAAGTATATGCAATATTTTTAAAGAATTTTTTTTGATCCCTCAAACGGAATTTTGAGAAACCAAAACCTGGTATTATCGTCGTAACTGCATAAAATTTTGGAGCCAAAATCTAGAACCCACTTTTCAAAATTAAAAAAAACATAAAACTAGCTTTTATAAATATTCCAAACCCGAAACCATAACTCTTTTACTCCCATGTTCTAAACTCTGCTCGTAATGATGTAAAAAAAAAATACTATTATTTTATTTATATTTACACAAAAACTTTCCTCTATTTTTATACGTAAGCTGCCAATTGTTTCGTGACGATAGAAATGGTAATATCGTCCCATTTGTATGAAGAAAAACATTTACCCGTCGCATACCCCAAGCTGGCAATTATGCATTACGGCTACAGTTTTTATTTTACTTGCCTGGCTCTGTCCATTTACATACTGGCCAGCATCACGTTTTTGATTTACTCCCACAAACGCAAAGAAGACAAAGCACTTTCGGATGAAGAGGCCATTGAAAATAGGCCCATGAAAATTCGAAGATAAATCTTATTATCTTATTCCGTATAAAATTCGAAGATAAATCTTATTATCTTATTCCATATATAACAAACAACTCTATGAATATGAAGTGATAATTATGGTTGTATATAATTTTTAAGAATACACAACTAATGTAACTCACCCCCCCCCCCGTTAAATATAAAAATAATCTTTTATTTGTTTATCTGTATATTGATAAAATGTGTGAATATTATCTGTTAAAAAAAATTCACACCTATTTTTTAGTTATATAATTTTTTTTTGAAAAAATTAAAAATTATGCAAAACGATCTTACGATGATATTAAATTAAATTTTAATATAATTACACCATTAAGTGCAATTCATTTTTTTTGTATGTAAATTATAAATTGATCCGTCAAGAATCACAATTAAATTATATTTACATTATTATTTTTAAAAAAGAAATAAAATATATACAAATAATCAATTAAATATAAGTATAGTATATTTATAAGTTACAAAATTTGACCTAAGACATTTAAAATAAATCATATTTTTTTTTACGGATTATATTTTGAATCGAAATCATCGCAACGCGAGACCTAATAATACCATTTAGTTTATAATTCTTCGATATTTTATTTACGTTAATATACTTTTTAAACAAAATTTAACATTTTCCCCTCAGTTTCACTTTATGAACTTTCCACCCAGCACATTAAACGCTTATAAAATATTAAAATCAAATTTCGTTATAATAATCATATATTAATGACCACACGATATTTTACTTATGAAGAAATTCTCCATACTTACAATATTTTTTATAATACAACCATTTTTTTTCATTGTATTATTTTTTATTTTGAATTATAAACAAATAAACATATATACTATTATTACATAATTCAAGTAAATTTTTATAACTAACATTACCCCATAAATAAATCACGCCTAATTATTAACGCGTTAGCTATTCTTGTACGCGTTCTTAGAGCCTTATAAATCGGCTCGGCGAGCTCAAAAGTTTTGTTCGCGGAAGGGCATTACGTGTTCCGATATTTCGAATTTACGGGTATTATATTAAAACTCTAAAAGGAATATCTAATATTTTACCACTTTTATAAGGTGATCAGCTAATAAAATCCTTTAAAAAGTCATTATATGACGGTTTTTATGTAATCCAAATGATAAAAACTTCTTAAAAATATTAAATATACGATGGATAAAAATAAAATTTATATACGCGAGGAATTTCCGAAGAGAATCTTAATCTTTTCATCTTCATAGGTGTTTAGGAGGGCCAAAGCTAGTCGACGCAAAGGGTTTGTCATTCAGAGGATTTTATTTTAAAAAAGGACTTTTAGAAATTCAAATTTAATTATGTAGCATTGTTAAATATGTATATTTGAGGCGAAAATATTTTTCTTTCAGCTATTTAAATTTTTATATAATAAAATATATTTTTTAGGCAAAAATTAAAATGTACCATTATTTGGTGACTGCAATAGAATTAGGTAAAAATTAAAAAATTTTACCCATTTTTAATAATTCAAATAATGTCATTTGTCATTTTTATATGAATTATTTATATGCAAATGGTATATTATATTGAATAAAACACTGTCCATGAAAATCCTTGTAAATTTAATATTATTATGTACCACATCGCTTTCATTATCATAATCAACTAATCCGATTGGAAATTATTTTAGTAGATGTAGCTCGCTATTTTTGAAATCCTCCAATATTAAAAAATAGGTTTATTTATTCCGAAGGAAATGAAAATCTATTAATTCACATATACACAATTTAAAAAAATAAATTTAATTTAAAATAAATTTATCGCAACATATTAAAAATAAAATGAATTATTTGAATACATTTAGATTTATACATACATATTTTTGAAAATAACTAGTTACTTTTGGCAGTTACATTGGTAAAAATATAACTAGTTACAGTTACTAGTTACAATTTTTAAAATATAACGTTACAGTTATTTTTTGCAAAAATGTAACTAGTTACCTTAACAACACTACTAGGGACCTTATAGGCCCAAAGGTAAATAAAGGGATATAAATTGATTATTAGTTAGAAATAAACTATGAGAAGCAAACGAAACTTTATAAATAAATTTTCCGATTATAAAGTGAAATAAAATATAACGTAGGATAACCTATTACGCCATTATATGACTTTTAATAATTACATGATATTTACTAAATATTTTAAATTACTTACAATGCCCAAACAGAAAATTCAACAAATTAAATAATCGCTATTTTGTAACGTTTTTTACTGATTACATAATATTTACTAAATGTTTATAAAATACTTACATTACCTAAACTAAAATTTTTAACGAATTAAATAATAACTATTTTGTATTTGGAAGAAATAGTTTCTTTTTTCCTTTTTCACCTTTTTCTCCTTCATAATCAAAACTATACCTCATTCTAATACTACAAACTGGATAGGGCGTTGTTCTACTCATTTTGATAAATACATCTGAGTTACAAGGTTTGTTGGTATCCTTGAGAAAAAATCGGTAAAATTATATTCGCTCACTTTGGGCATGTCTATGACCAACGTGCTAGATAAGATAAAATTAAAAAAGTTATCGACTTTGTAATAACAGCTCTAGCTCAGAGAAATAGATATGGATGATATTAATTTAGCAAATGGTCGATGGTTGGATTCCCATTGGGACCCATATTAAAGTTGGATAGATGCTAAAAAATTTAAAAAGGTCCTAGATATTTATTAAATTCTTTTAGAAAATGTTTTTTCTATCAAATTTTATTAGGGCTCCTTTATAGTTAGCGCGACATCGCTTCGCTGCTTTGAAAAATACATCTTGTTAGATCATACCGCTATGCTATTGTTAATCATGCTGGTGCGCCAAATCTTATGCTAGCGTCCCCTCTACCTCCCTTACTTTCAATGATCCTAGGACTTGAAACAGAACAGTTGTTCTATGACATAGTATCAATAAGTATATTATGCTTATTATATTAGAGATTTAGAGGCTACGGAAATATTGAAACTTCGCAAATGACAAAAATTACTAAACCACACAAAATGACAAAATCATGCAAAACATCGTTTATAAAAAGAATAAAAACAACGTAAAAGTCGTGAAAAATAACAATCTAATTACGCATAAAAATTTCGAAACTAAGCATCATTATTTAATTTTTGGTTTGTGAATAATGATTTTTTTAAATTTTATACTAATTAAGCCTTTCAGCATGGACAAAAAAAAGAATAATCTAGTTCCTAAAGGTAAATTTTATTTATTTAGATACCATTATGTTAAAGAAGAGCGTCTTAAAAAATTAATTAACATTTTAATTATATCGTATTTAATTTTTTTTATACAAACAGCCTCCATTTACAATAGTTCTATTCCTAGACGAAACCCTAAAAGAGGGCATCCTTAAATGAATCCAGTTAATGTGGGCAATTAAACATTTTAAATTGAATCTAAAAGTTAAAATAAAATTAGTGATTAATATTAGATTAAATCTTTTATTAGATTAGAAAAATTTAATATTTTGAAATATGCATTGGCGTACGCAGAGGGGGGGGGGCAGGGGGAACCCCCCCCCCCCCCAAGCCAAAAAATGCAGATGCCGGATATATTTTTCAAAAATATTATTGTTTATAATTTATATTTGTTAATATTTATTCGTATCTCATATTAAATATATATTTTATTACATTTATTATCACATTCATAAGTTATTTTATCAATTAATTTCGATTTCAAGTTTTTCGGCGTAATATTTACTTATTATTTTCAAATTTTTAGTGGCGTAATATTTATCTACCATTTTCAAATTTCTAGTCAAATAATAATTATTTCTGAAACTTCTGGTCCAACAGGGAAAAAGAAATTGCAACCTTGGTTCGGCCCGGCTTTTTTTAAAATAAAATTTTCAGGCCCAACCTGGATTTTTTAAAAATAAATTATATTTATTTTTGATTTTTATAGCTAATAATAACGATTTTAAATATAGGCTGTTTTAAAAAATACAGCCCGGCCTGGGTGTTTTTTTTAAAATAATTAAAGCCCGGCTTGGGTGTTTTTTATTAAAAATTCAGGTCCGGCCCGGGTGTTTTTTAAAAAATTTCGGGCCCGGCCCGGGTATATTTAAAAAAATTAAAATACTGTCCGGCCCAGGGGCCGGGCCTGCAGGTCTCTGAAAAACATACCAAGAAGTACAACATGTGAAAGTAGATTGAAAGGTTTGGATCTTTTGAATATTCATAGGCATTTGACGACAAGCAAGGATGAGATAATTAAAAAATTAGCTCAATCCCAAAGAAGACTGGATTTTACATTGTAAATATATAACATACAAAATATAATTATTCCTAAGAAACTTTTTGTGTAAAGGTTCAAAAAATTAAATTTCTATTTTGGGTCATTTAAGTGATTCTTTACATATAATTTTTTTATAATTCACATTAATTTAAAATTGTGTATTAGGAATAGTTATTAGTCCTAATAAATTTATGCTTGATATTTTTAAAAAACAATAATATTTCTTAAAAAAATTTATTACCCCCCCCCCCCTTTCCCCCCTCCAGACCAAATTCCTGCGTATGCGCCTGGAAATAGGGTATAAATTCCTGATTTAATGATTATATTTTTTTAAAAAAAATTTTTTTTAGTTTTTAAATGGAATTTATCTTAGTCAACAGCAAATCGGGCAAGAAATATATACACATTTTTAAAATATATATTCTCAGTAATAAATTTCAGAAGAGCCGACATCTCCTTTCCATTTGAAAATCTATTAATTATAACTCATCCTAACTCGACTAATAAATTAGTTACGAATTTAGTGAACTAATTTAGTAAAGCTAAGTCGAAGTATGAGAATATTTTTTTCCTATCGTTTTTTATTTTACCTTTAATTTCTATTATACGATAATATATTAAGGATTCTCGATCATCTGTTAAGTCGCGTATCGCGTTCATGGCCTAATAAAATATATTTTATATTACATTTTTAGAAATTAAAATTAATAATAGATGTAGACTAAATTAAGACTGCACTTTTTTTCTCTTTTTGTTCTAATCGTTAGCAAATCTAATCATATAATTTTATAAAACCTGCCTTTTACTCTCCTATTATTCAAAAACATATATATGGGAGGGATAAGTTACCGATATAAAAGTAAATTTTGGGGTAATAATTAATCACTATACCTAGTTAATTTTTTAAAAATACTAGCAAAATTCCGATATAAACTATAAAGTTACAAGATTTTAGATATAGAGAAAATTAAAGACAGAGCCGTAGCCATAGAGGGGGCCTGGAAGGCCAGTCCCCCCCCCCCCCCAAAAAAATAGACGCTTAATTATAACGTTTAAATTGTACTTATTTCAATGATAATTATTTTATTTATTATGGTTCAATCACAATATTATTATCTTTTGAAGGTCTCTGATATAGATCTGGGTGCAAATCATAAAAAACCGAGATTTTCTGAAGCTAATCAAGTGATTACTCAAGGCCTGATATATATATATATATATATCAAATCTAAGAAAATATATTGATACCGATTTGTAGTATTTATTAAAATAAAAAAGGTTCTTATTAAATTTTTATAAAATTTGGCAATTATTGTGCAGTGTTGCTAAACATCTCGATTTGGGCCGATTTTTAAAAATGGTCCGATTAAGATCTTAAACAAAATAATATTATCTAAGCCCGATATAACCAGTTATTTAAAACAGCGGTGAATATTTTAGCATTATGAAGAAAATAGTGAGATAAAAACAATTTTGATAAGCCAACAAATTAACCGTAATCTTTACGATCTTAAATCAAGATTTCATGATATTTCTTAACATACAGGAGCCCTTTCCGCGAGACTGGTTCAACAAAAATTACGGATGTGCAAATGTAGAAAACATAATTTATTTTTTCTGGACTATTTATAGCAATGTTTTCATACACCACCCAAAAAGATACTGAATTAAATAAAAATTACAAATTAAGAAATTTATATACAAAAATACGCGATATACATCACCCAGATT